CAGATCTGCCGCAGGGCACGGCCCAGAGCCGTCAGAGCCGTCCGGTCGTCCGGAGATGACCGAGAAAAAGAAACCCCTCCGATGGGGCTACTGTTCGAACAAGCAGTTACCGCTGCTAGTAGTGAGTAGTGTTCGTCTCTGAGTAGTGTTCGTGGGAGGTTTGATTTCGTCAACACATGGAAAGTGCATGCTCCAATTTTTCTGATTTGTAGGCTCCACCCCGTCCTTGGGCGAGGTCACTTCCCACAGTCTGTCATTTCCAAAAAGGATGACCTGTTCACTGTTCACTGGCTTTTGAAAGATCAATGCGTGAACAACATGGTCGAGGGATGCCTAGGACATGTTTGACACTAAATGGCACTTAACTCTTCATTCATTGTTTTCGTGGTCTCTAGAGTGTTTCCCAAACCAGTCACGCATCATGCTTCTGGAGATGTTTCTCCTTTTGGGCAAACTGCACCACATCACCCAAAAATATTTGATAAGATTAACCCCCCCATCATGAGATGCATCAACGCATGCAACGGTTTCTCAAATTTTAGATTTTAAAAAGTGACACTTGAACATCCAACTGGCGATTCCGGCTCAAACTTCCACCCGGAACTGAACAAATTTACTTTTGAAGTTCTCGGGCGTGCTCGCATCTCAAACACTTTCCACAAACTATGTCTCCCTCAAAGGTCTTTTGGGCGATTGAATTTGACCATCCATTTGCTCACCGCTCCGACCCAAGGGCTTCCGCCCGAACCTGTTGGAAAAACATATGAACTAAGTAGCTACGTGGGTGGTGCAGATCAAACATTTTTTGAACCTGGCCTTACTACTAGGAACAATGTTCGTTACTAGTGGCTCCTGGCATCGCTACGAACGGAGCGATCGGACGCTACGAACGGAGCTTTTTCTGAACTTCATGGTTTGAATCCTCACAGCTTCACCGTGCCCACTCGCCTCCGCGTGCACTGACCGCCATCGCGTGCCGTTCGTGCCCCCCTCCCGGAGCGCGTGGCCCAGTGCGCGCGCGGCGGCCAAGCGGACGGCGCACGAGGCGTCGTGGGCGGCCGAAGCACCTTGAGAAGTTGAGGATGCAATTTGGTGGAAATATTATATATATATATATTATATCTAAATATTTTGTGTCATATCCTCAGTTAGGATTCAATATCTATATATACTATATATATATTCTTCACACACACACAAAAGCAAGGGGATGATGATGTGGTAAATAAAGACATGGCCCTGCAAAAGCGCGTCCAGGCTTTCCTGATTGCTAGTGGGAATGGGGTCTTAATTGGAACATGTTCTGTGTGTTAACTTTCCAGATAGCTGATCGCTCGAGGGGTCGACCCCTCTTCTGTGAAGCAGGCCCTTCTGCTCGCAACTTCGTTTGGACACTTGGAGCCTGGGAACCCAAGGGGTCACCTTTTAGGGTCCTGGTGAGAGCTTGGATGAGGGATTTGCACACATCTTGAGGTCCCATTAGGCAGACAAACAGACACGAATGGAGAGGACCGGAGCAAAGAAGAGAGAAAAGGCAAATGAGGCAAAGCAGAGAAAAGATCAATTCGGATTACAGAGAGAAAGCGAGAATCAAGAGAGAGAGAGAGAGAGAGTGGGTCACCATCCAACATGTGTAATGCAAAAAACAATGTTATATTAGTTTGCAAACGAATGACCTTAAGGATACAGCTTGATACTTGCAAATATAGATGCAAACACGTATATAAATATATTTTGGGTCTATCCTAATACCTGTAACAGTGGATGATGATGGTTAAGGTACCAGGCCTTGTTCAAAAATAGTGATTTGCTTGTTTACTGACGGCTCTACAGGTAAGAACGGACAAACCCAATATATATTACTAATACATCTTGTTGTTTTTGAAGAAGCCGGGCTGACGCCACCAGCGACTTGGAAAGACCCTCCACTTGACAGGGGGATCCTTGACTAGCCAGGCTTGGTTCCGGGTTTCGATGGATCAAACAGAGGTTGCACATGAAAGAAAAAGGTGGGCGTTCTCAGATCGGATCCTCGGATCGGTCCCTTTTTTCCATGTGCAACATGCCTTGTGCTTACCTTAGTGATACAGCACTTCGCTGTTTGGGCGCTCCCATCGGCCAGCGTGCGTGCTGAAACCGCCACGACCCGCACTCAAAGTGGAACTTTTTTGGAGGGCACAAGAGGGATGACCTTCCTCTCCAGTCAGAATTGCACAAACCAACGAACCAACATAATAGTAGAACATGCACCCAAAACGACTCTGTAAACAAACGTTTTATAACACAAGTCTCAAGATGTCTGGCCTGCAGGAAGCCAGTGCCTATCTCCGAAATTCCACCGTGCCCCGGCGGTTGGGATCTTCACTATTTATGCGAGCGAAAATTCTCCAGGCCAAGCAGTTGAAGGTCTTGCAAGTAGGGAGCTGCTGCTCTCGTGCATAGATGCTCAGCGCTTGAAAGATCTCATCTTTTGAATACCCATGGCAGTATTCTCCACTCGTTTTCTTCTCTGAAAGGAGGCCTGCATTCTTGAGTATGTCAATGATGCTCTTCATTTGGTTTGCAGCTGCTGCTGGCTGTTGCCACTGGCCCGGGTATGCACTGGAAAGAAATGCGGCGCGCAGTTTCTCTTCGACATCCCGGCTGCAGTCGGAAGCCTCGGGCAGCAGGTCCATCTTCCGCAACGTTAGCTTGTTGTGAGCTGTATTGACAAAGCACAGCATGGCTTCATATTCGTCAGGGTTCCGTTCATCGAGGTAGCCCAGCTGTTTCAGTGCTTGAGTGGCCAGGTCTTTGGAATCTTTTAACATCAAAGGTCCGCCACCTCTAAAAATCGCACGTGCCAATGCATTTCCATATGTCATTCGTATAACATGAGTGGCTTTTTTACCTCCGTGAGTTGGCAACAGAAAGGCCAACTGACCAGAATTCCTTTGCCAAGATGCGGTCTTGGAAGCCTTGATTCTTTTGTGCACTGCAAGTGTCAAAGTCGGAGTGGGGTAAACAATGAGTCGTCCTAAACCATTGACAAACCAGAACTTGGTGCACGCTTGTCTAGGGTGCCCCGAATATCCCAAATCTTCAAGGAATGATTTCACTCGCTCAAACTTCTTCTCGTAGCTTGGTCCGTCTCCTGTCACTGTAAAGGGATCTGAAAATTGCACTGAACCAGCTCCATCTTCATGAAGGATTGCTTGAACATGTGGATGACTTTCGTCAGTGTGTTTCAACTTCAAGACTTCAAGTCCATTCTCTTGGTATTTTGCTGCCACACCAAGATCGGACTCAGGAACCAGCACCAAATAGCTGGGGTTTGTGTCCGCAAGCTTCAGCATGATACTTATAAAACCCGTATCTCGGGTCAACAAGGCAATGCGATGTACTCTACGACGTGTGGAAAGCTCTTGCATCGCAGCTTCCATCGCCTCGTCATTGGGCTCTCTCGAATGGTCCTTCGAACGAGGAACCGGTCGGAATGTGATGCCAGGCTCTTCCAGAAATTCACGCCACTTCTTGTTTTCAGTTCGCCGTGGTGCCGCAAAGACGTGTGTGCGAACATGGCCGCCCATGTTCTTCAAACGGCTTGTCGCATGCTTGAAGAGTTCAATGCTCCCACGATCTGCATCCACCAGAAGCTCGGTGATTGGTGATGAGGCCCGTGCCACCTGATCAAATCTTCCAGCTGGTCCAAGCTGCTTGCCGCACCTCTTTTTTTGCTGCACTCCTACACCAGCTAAACAACTCAGGCACCATGGCCACTGCTTACGATAAGGCCAGTCAAAGCCTCTGCCGCCAAGCAGGCGATGATGGCAAGTACCTCGCAGCCCTCCGGCTGAGCTTTGGGGTCCGCTGCATGGCCCACTGGGGCGACTGCAAACAGAAACACCAGCTCCATGCCACATGTGAGTGGAATGGCTTGACAAAGGAAGCTGAACGCTACTGATTGATTGGATGGATGAACTTTTGTGATCACTTGAATTCAATTTTAATTTGTACGGTAATTGGTTTTTTATTAACATCCCCGAAGCTCCGGAATTCCTCCCCCATCAAGTGGCTGGAGACCGTTCGGTCGACGGGTCTGGGAAAGGGTCGTTCTTGGGGCCGCGGGGGGCAGCACGCTCCTCGCGCCGTTGGCGGGCACCACCCCTTGAGGATGCACAGCTGCGAACGACCCTCCTGAAAGGCAAACCAAATCGGGAGGACAACCCGGTTGCCACCCCGCTTCACTGATAGAAGTTTGGAAGGTAGAAGCAATGAATATCATCCAACATCTTCAAATGTGCGTGTCTCAACTGCCATAAGGATGCCTGAAAACTAGACCAGTAACGCCCCCTTGTTCCTAGAAGCTTCTTGCTACTAGTAGCAATGCACCCGTTCCTAGTAGCGACCCAAGAACGAACCCAACTCGAACCTCGCCCCGGAACTCCAACCGAACTCGACCGCCCAGGCGCGGAGCACACCCAGCGACCACGCTTCGGCTTCCTGGCGGGAGCGGACGTGGTCGAACGCTCAGGCCTTCCTTCGGTGCTCCTTCGGTGCCCCCGAGGGGGCGGGGGGGTGTGAGTTTCAAGTTGAGAGGAGTCATGATGAGTCGATCCACCTCATAACACGTCCCCAGTGTATGTGGTGAGAGTCAGGTGGATTTTTTCTGATGTGCTTTTTTTCATTCTTTGTCTGACTCTGGGAGAGGGGGAGGGGGCCACCCTCCAACGAAGAGACTGCTTGGACACCCCAACTGGTCAGTTCCGGCTCGGCCGGTCCACCGGCTCGGCCCCAAGTCCTCCTCTCTCCTCCCCGGCCCGCACGGTCCGCCGCTCTGGGCGCGCTCTTTTCTCTTTTCCTCCCCTATTTGGGAGCCACAGCGCTGCACTGTGGTAGTCGAGTGGTAACAAACAGGGTCAAAGAGCCGACCAACGCAAGAAGGGAAATGGAGAGATGGGTTTTGAGTGCTGTACTGTAAGCTCCAAGTTTGATCGCATTGATTGGATCCCAATATCCTTGACAGGTCAGACCTTTCTGGGCTGGTGCAAGTCAAGCTCCTTCACATCCCCCCTGTTCTCTGGGAACGGTCTCAGCGGCGCAGCACGCGCACGCAGTGCGCTCCGTCTCCTCTCCTGTCCGAGCTGAAGCGTTTTGGGGTGGAACGGAGTTGTCACCCGACTTCCAAGACCAAAAATGGTTGACCTGGTGTTTGTAAGTGTAACATCATGAATTGGCAAAGGCCGATGAAATGAATGGTTGGAAGCCTAGGGTCATGCTTTTTCTTCCAATGGCTTTCTTGCAGGAAGGGTTTAGAGGGAATTTTCTCAGAGCTTTCCCCACTGACGGGGCTAATTTCTCGGTGGATGTCTACAGTCTACAGCCAGCATTGGAGCTCTTCGCCGGAGTCTTCTGGGCAAGTGACGACAAATGGCGGCAGTCCGAAGAAGCAATGCGCACTCTGCGCCACTGCTTCTTGGGGGATTCAAGATTGACATGGGCTAAGAGAGGTACCTCCCTATCGTTCATCATTGCTACCCAAGTGCTTTGACCATTTTGACAGAACTCTCTTCATCCACATACACTCCAAAACAGAATGGCCTCCACCCAGCGAAAAGGGGAACACCGAGTTTCGCCGGTTTCGTGTGGAGACAGGACATGACAAAGAGTAGTGAGTAGTATGGCAGATGGCAGACCACAGAAATACAACGTTCTACAGGACAAGCATGGTGTTTTGGGATATGATTACTCCATTTTCACCCATGCTGCAGCCCGGGCCGTTATCAAGTTATCAACATTAATCGAGTTCACTCGCAACTGTTGGCTTGTTTTTTACACGTTGATGGACCGAAAACTGGGTTCGAGTGGTTGTCTTTGGACCCCAAAGAAGAGAAACCACTTAGATTTTAGATGATTTTAAATCTTCTTTGGGGTCAAACTCTAAAATCTATGGGGATTGTGCGTGATCTCTTCTTTGGGGTTTTGCCTTTCTCCGACTCCGCGGTCCTGGACGGTCCCTAGGAGGAGCGGGCCATCTGTGAGGGGCGGAACCTCGGAGGAAGATGCCAAACCCTTCGAACATTGAATGGTATTTCTTTTGGTTTATCAACAGGTCGACATCGTCCGACCAACATATATCATATATCCGAAAACACCTCACTGTGACAAATATGCTTGGCTGGTTGGGTGTGCACATACTATGTGCACATGTATCGTCAGAGACTCGTAACGGTCTTTTGAGGGTGATTTTAGAGCCATATTCCGAATCCATTTCTGCAGGCAGAGTCCCCCAATGCCTTCGTGCCGCAAGGCCCCAAAAAGTTCCTTTCTTGACCGAAAAACCACGTTAGTGAAGAACCCCTCGCACCAGCAGGATCCCATGGAATCCAAGATTCTTCTGCACCGAACAAACGAATAAAAGAGACGCCTGTCTTAGAAGGCACGCCGTGAACGCTTCGCTCCTTGTCGACCCCGTGGAACGATGAAGGCGTGAAAGGTCGCAACCGAAGCGGAAGACCGAGTCAGACCCGCCGTTCGGTAAGACGAAGGGAATTTGGCCGAAGCGGTGCGGCGACCTTGCCCGGGTCGTCCAAAGCACCAGCTGGCCGATGTTGAAGACACACATGCTGGCTGTGGTGGCAATTGCAATTAAAAATACAACAATCTTAGCATAGTTTCCCCCGAAAAAATGACGAATAGAACCGATTAATTTGGTAATTCAATCACCGGGTGTTGCAAGAAGCACCCTGGAGTGGGGCGCTTCTTCAGACCGCTTCTTCAGACCTACTGGGGGGTGGGGACCTCGTCCAGCCAGCCCGTCCCCAAACGCCTCCAGGTCGCATGCGCATCCGATCCGTGGATCGCGGCGAGGGCCGCGGCTTGGCCTCGTCCTCCGAGCCCTGAGGGACCCGAGCCCCGTGTGGGCGGAAGCGAGCCCTGAGGGACGCGAGGGTCCATGACAACAATCCCGCCGGAACCAGGAGAATCTTTCATCACCAGGCGGAGAGGGATCTTTCAAAAACCTACGTAGTTCCCTTTGTTTATCTTGTGGGCGTACATTAAACCCATCCAGTGGATTCTGGAGTTGATTTGCTTGACCGACGTCGTATCAAAAAGAGAAACACAACAACCTGCTTAATGATACTGATAAGTTTCACCCCTAGCGCGTCTTGGCCCTTCACGCGGAAACACACACCCCAAGCAGCCCGGGGAGCTGCTCCATTGGTCCGTGTGTTTGAGGACGTTCTCGATCCATCGGCCAAGTCGATTCCCACCGAGGATCAGAGTCGCAGAGTCCATCCAGGGGGTTCTCACACACGGATGCATCGCAGGCCGTCTGCTCCATCCGGATGCCCTGGGCAGGCGCTTGCTTTTTTGCACGCAAAAAAAAGGCCAAAGAATGCTGAAGACACCCCCCCAGGCTGGAACACCCTATGTGTCAACGCGAACTCGTTGCTATGTTTTTTTCATTGCTTAGCACAAACAATTGCTTAGCATAGTAATTGATTCAAGTCAGTCCCCAAAGCTGCCAAACAGGGTCGCCAAACGAGGCACACACGGCACACACGGGAATCCAATGACTTTCCTGGTATGGATTGGGGGTCCACAGTTCTGGATCTTGCCTTGACAAAGCTAGTTCTAGAATCCTAGAACAACCTTCTTGTTTGTAAGTGGCGACCACAAATCGTGACAATCTCTTTTGCTCGGCCTTGCTTCTCCCCACCGGTCACCGTCGCTAAGTAAGGGGCTGACCGGAGGCTGTGAGCTTCACATCTCACAATGTGTGTTGAGGGACTCTCCAAATTCTTGTTTCCTTGCCAAGCTCTTGTTAAATTCAAAGGCCAATCAATCAAGTAATCATTGGGGTGGCACAAGTCAGTGACTTCGCACGACTCCAGGTTCACACTTTCAAAGAAAACAATGGACCATGGACATGCATTTGCTGTGGTTGGTACAGTTTGACAAGATAAGGGTGACAAACAACATCTAGCACCCTACAAGCTCACCTCTCCACTCAACAGTGGTGCATCAAATTCTCTACAACTTCGCAGTTCGTGTCCATGGGCTCATGGGCCAACCACGAGGTATGGTTTACGCATCGAATCATATCAATCAATGCTTCCAAACGCCAAGGTTCCCCGCTTCACCCTGGAAAATGGACCAAAGAACCTTTCATCGGCCAACGTGAAACACGTTTCACCGTTGTCTGCGGCCTTGGCATTGAGAATGCACACAAAGGTCAACATCAAGACGAAACAAAGTCCAATCTGCACAGGCTGCTTCCCATTCGGTGTGGCTTCGTGAAAGGAGGAATGGGCCAAGTGATGGCCAAGTGGTCCAATTCTCTGTTGGTCGGTTGGGTTCCACAGAATGTTCTTTGCCCAAACACATTTTTGCAACTTCCCCAAAGGGGTTTTGCTGGTTTTCATGATTCGATTCTAGGCTGCAAACTCCACGTTAGACATGGGTGGGGCTTGATTCGTGCTAGGCGGTTGGTGAGTCTTAGCTTCAGTGGTGAGAGCGTGGTTCATGTCAGCAGTCCTCTTGCAGCGGGAAAAAAAGCTTTCAGCAAAATATAGAGCTGGGGGATCAAAACAACTCTGTTGAGTTTCGGCGAGTTCAACTCGCCCTAAATCGCCCCAACCCAACTGGAGAGTGAGTACAACGATTATTTTGGAACAGGAAGCGAACCAAAATGAAAGCGGATTGACCAATCTTCAAGCTGTTTCACCCGGGGTTTGTATGATCAACTCCAGGTTTGGTCCATGCAGGGCCATGTTTGAGGAAGAGAGAGAGAGAGAGAGAGTGAACCATTGTTCTTACCACCGGTGATGTGCAGAGCTTCCTTTTTACAAAAAGAGAAGAGGAGGTCGGTCCTTTCCATCGAAGGCAAACAGGATTTCACCTGTTTTTGCCAGATTTGCTATGATTTGGTTCGTTCTGCGATCAGCACCTCAAGCTTGACACATATATATATCCCTTCAGCAAAGAACCCGTACACCCGCGCGGAGCCGCACCAGCATGGCCGGCAGCCACCAAAGAGGTGCGTGACCCACATCCTCCGGGCCATAGGACACGGTGGCTTTCACGGGTCCTGGCTCGGTGCGCTCGGGCTCGTTGTTTGGGGGCAGGGCCGAAGAGGGCGTTCCTAGTAGCTTCTTGTTACTAGTAGTAAGGCCAGGAGCCACTAGTAG